ATGTGTCCTCTATGTCTCCTGTATGTGTCCTCTTTGCTCTCCTCCGGCAATTGACCGAATGCTTCTTCTCTGCACACAAACAAAACACATCAATTCTTTCCTGTTTAAGAAGCAGAGAGCGAGACATCACATGAGACATGACGACGCAGGAGGACAGAGATCAAATGTCACATGTTATAAAATCTATTGTTACGAAGCCTCTTAAGCTGCACGGAGGCTGTAATGTAAAGAATGTTCGGTTGTGATAGAATCCAGACAAACGCACAACACACACACACACACACACACACACACACACACACACACACACACACACACACACTGGGAGTCTAAAAGCTGGACGTGTGAGTGACTAAGCAGCTGTGTCTTTCACTTTTAAGATATAAATACTACAATCCTTAGATGTGTGAGCTAAAGCACCAACATGGACGTGTCTCTAACGCAGCACGGTGCCCTTTGAGATACTTTAAGCTTTAAGGACAGAGACGTTTGAGTGGCGCTGAAGGAAACGTAGCATCTAGTGTTTCTGCAGCTCGACTGTGTGTAGGAACTAATCAGGACGTCCTAACTTTTACTCCACCTTCATCAGGAGGACAGTGATGATATCTCACCCCATCAATCACGAAATGTACACCTGCAGTCTAGTTTACACGTGAAACCACATTTGATCATCAGGTTGTCTCACTTCAGTATCCCATCAAACGTCTTGTATTTACTGTGCAGAAAGCCACCATGAAACAAACGGGTGCTGCTGGTGTTGTTTCGTACGGATCAGAAAACAATGACAGGCCAATCAGAACGCTGTGCGGCTGATCCCGCCCCCCTGCTGTGATCACATTAAGCCACATCATCCTGTCAAATGATTTAATTCAATTTTAGTCTCAAGTGGCAGAAGAAGAAGAAGATGATCCTATTTTATTTACTCCTGGTTCTCCGAGCGGGGCGTAAGTACACGTTAAACTGACTCAGTTACTTCAGATAAACGTTGGTACCTCACATTCCTGATTCTTTCTGTCATCAATCACTGAACCGAGTTCTCTGATTTCAGGATGCACAGACGATCTGATCTTTGAGACAAAGCCTGTTGGACAAAGTGTGTCTCTGACTTGTCCTCGTAACGTCTCTCTAACCGGTGGAACCTTGTTCTGGATGAGGCTGGTTTCTGGAAACGTACCTGAGTTCTTTAGAGGAACATTTCTTTTTGACTATGAGCTCGATACGATTTCTCACATCACAACAAAACAAGGTCCGGGAACATTTCTGCTGCACATTCATCAGGCAAAGCGGAGCGATACTGGAGTTTACTATTGTTTAGAAATAAACACACTCTCTGTGACACTAAGAAATCGACATTTCTGATAATTGAAGGTAAATATGATTCATACAAGTAGTTTATGTATAAAACGGCGTGTAGTTAATGGGAAAGTCATTTTATTCATACATGAACAGTGCTTGTGTTCATTAAAGCATATTTATTATGTCTTCATTTCCAGGACCAGAAGCCGATGTCCCCGTAATCACTAAAAGCGCTCCAGCAGATCCCGTCCGTCCAGGAGACTCAGTGACTCTGCAGTGTTCCGTCCTCTCCGTCTCTGAGGAGACGGAATGTCCAGAAGGACAGAAGGTGTTCTGGTTCAAAGCCGGCTCGGATAGATCTCCTCCACATGTGATTTATGTCCATGGAAACCGGGATGGATGTGAGCAGAGTCCTGAGGCTCCCCCTCCACACAGATGTGTCTACAGCTTCTCTAAGAACATCAGCTCCTCTGACGCCGGCACGTATTACTGTGCCGCGGCCACATGTGGACAGATGCTACTTGGAGAAGGAACAACACTGGAAACTGAAGGTACCGATAAATCATTAATACCGATCCTGTATCACAAAGTGAGTGCGTGTGATGCCCGACTTCACCGGGTCGTCATAGTTTTTATACAGACTCTGATTATTTGCTGGTCTTCTTTCAGCCCCCCTCATGTGGGATTTGCAGGAGACGGTTCTGATCGTCCTGTCAGCAGCTCTGGCTTTTTGTCTGCTTGTTGTCGTCTTCCTGATGTTTATTATCAAGAGGAAAACTTGTCAATGCTGCAACGGTAAAATATGTTTCTCAGTTTCTTTCAAAAGCGTCAGGAAATTTCTGAAACTTCCTGTAACTCATTAATTAGCTCTTATTATCATAATTATCACTCTAACAACAGTTTATTATGTATCTCATGTCTAGCGGCTGCTTCTCTGCTAGAAAATGTTGCAAAGGGGAATTTCAAGGTAAGATCAATTCATCAGATGAACATATGATGTATATTGATCAGTATTCATCCATTTATGTGATTTACAATCCGTTTGCTCAGAGGAATGAAGACGCGTGGACTTATTCTACTGCCGTCTTCACCGTGATGAAGTCAGGTGGAAGGAGGCGCGCAGAGGGAGCGCAGAGGGAGAACATCCACGCTGCTGCCAAGGCCTCCGGGTCGGATTAGCATGTTTCCTGGACTCAGTGAGATCAGCTGGTAGCGTGTGTGATGGAAGTCCAAAGGCTGTTGTATGTGGCCGAGAGGCCGTGATGACATGTGATGTGTTCTGCTCACCGCTTTGGGACTAATAGAGGATTACCTCATGCTTCCATGTAGCACTAGTTGCTTTGTGTTACACTATGATGCAAAGATTAATCTCAGACGCTGTTACACTGACTTTACTCTCACAGCCTCTTTCTGTCTGCCACCGTGTGCAAAGGCCACATTTAGAGAGACTGCAGGAGGCACCAAGTGTGCGTTTTAAAGAGAACCATCTGCATTGTCACCATTTCAATGATTTGGATTAACTTCTAAACTTAAAGATGCATTAGATGTTGGACCCCTTTAATGCAAAATATATATACAGGATTAAGTTATACATTTCTGCACAATGCTCTCTGACTAATTAACTAGTCGTACCACAGTGGCTGTTAAAAGGTTCTCTCCTGCTTCTCATTAAGCTGTTCTCACTCAAAGTTAATCAAGAAATGGGATTAAAGTTGTGCTTCTAAACTGTAAACACAAAGTTTGTCATCTTTCTATTGCTCCTCTCCATTTATCTTTGAAGATGGGAAGAAAAGAAGTGTTAAGATGTTGTAGCTGTAGTTCCATTTCACAAGTGGAGCCCCCTACTGGATTCTGCAGGTATTACTCTCCTCCAATCACAAGCAGGCATTCGTTCACTGAAGAGCTGCATGAAAGCAGCCGGCCAATCAGGACACGCCTTCCAAACCCAAAGGGAGGGATTTTGTCTTTGTCCTTCACCCCACAAAGCAGACTGGGGCCCACTGATGGGGGGTATGTCGGGGTCTTACAGTAATTCAGCACGTGGCCAATGATGTCATGAAAGTGAAGCAAAGTGTAAAAGATCCTGACGGTCTAATGTATGGAATGCCGTTTTAGTCAAAATTAAATAAATGAATAAATACATAAATACATGAAATATGCAATTGAAATACATTATGAAATAAATAAATGAATATTAAATTAATGTAATTATTTCATGGTACTTTTATTTCATAATGCCGTTTTACATTTACGGAGATTTTTATTTCATAATGCCGTTTTACATTTACGGAGATTTTTATTTCATAATGCCGTTTTTCATTTCCAGAGACTTATTTCATAATGCCGTTTTACATTTCACGTTCTTATATGCAAATCAGGGGGCGTGGCTACATCTAACATTCAGAACAGACAACAGAGCCGTGTGCAAAAGAAGGCTGGCTAAGGGACGTGAGTGTTTACATAATGGAAGACATCGTTGGGCTCCGAGGTAGCATGCTAGCATTAGCAGATCAAATCGATCAACATGGGTTTTCTACAGATACGATTTTGACACATATTGAGGGTTTTTTGGAAATACTAGGGCGGATAAGTGCTCTTCAAGATGTATACATAGACGACGAAGTTTTAAATTGTTTAAGACTGATTGAGCACCGCGTGCGTGTGGAAGAGGTCCAAGTTGATGAAGTCAACATTAGCACTGGTACTACAAGCACAGGTGCTGGACGCCCGCCTCTGGATATTCCTGGCGACGAGCTGGCTAACTTTGTTGTCCGGTCTATCAACCTGAGAAATCGCGGATCTGTTTGGTGTGTCATCCAGCACGATTCAGAGGAGATTGGCCGAAGAAGGCCTTAGGTAAGTTAACTTACTTATTGAGCTTAAGAGTAGTCTATGTTGGGCAGTGTGCAGTGTGCAGTATGTGCAAATATTTAGGGATGTTTAAAGGTTTTAGAATATATGGGAAAGTATATAGTCCAGGATCCACAGCCCGTAAAGGGGGGCAAAAAGCGCCAGTATTATAAATGTTTTTGCCCACCATAGCCTACTCTTTAGCTCAATAAGTAAGTCATTGGACTGATCTCTGGTGGGCCATCATGGAGTCCATCCTCTGCTCCTCCATCAGCGTCTGGTACGCTGCAGCCACAGCCAAGGACAAGGGCAGGCTGCAGCGTGTCCTCCGCTCTGCAGAGAGGGTGATCAGCTGCAATCTGCCGTCCCTGCAGGACTTTTTCGCTTCCAGGTCTCTGAAGCGAGCTAAAAAGATGGTAGCCGACCCCTCTCACCCCGGACAAAACCTGCTCGTGCCCCTTCCATCTGGCAGGAGGCTGAGGTCCATCTTGACTAAGACCTCCCGCCACACCAACAGTTTCTTCCAGTCGGCAGTCGGGCTCATCAACAGAGCCGGTCCCCCACTGACTGACTCTGACATTCCACCGGTCACTCCCCTTCACACTGCACATGTCACTTTTACTGTCATTTCTCACTTTGTCGTCACTCGTCACTTTGTTACTTGTTCGCTAGTGCACTTCATGCTTAATATTTTTTAACTTTTTCAATATTTTAAATTCTTAAACTCTAACTTTAGGGCCTCACGGTGGCGTGGTGGTTAGCACTGTCGCCTCACAGCAAGAAGGTCCTGGGTTAGATTCCGCCCAGTGGCCTTTCTGTGTGGAGTCTGCATGATCTCCAAACCTGCTGCGGGGAACCGACAAGCCTGATCTACGTCATCTTATCCTGAAAATGATCCGGCTAACTGAGATAACTACGTGTGAGGAAAGTGGCCCCCCTTTGGCTCTGTAGGCGAATATTTACATTTACTTTTTCTTTCTAAACCTACTTCATAAATAAGTAGTATTTCAATACAATGCCGTTAAATTACGGTCATCTGCTGTTATTATTAATTGACGGCATCAACTGTTTAATTACATTTATGGCATTGACCATGATGAAAATGTAACTATACAGTATGTTACAGTTTTTGTGAAATAGTGTAAGTTACCGTCAATTTACAGAAATTTGTTACAATGGGTTTATTGTCTGTTTGTCCATTTTGTCCTTTATGACCACTACATGTATCAGTGTGGGAGAGGACCGTTTAACACACGAAAACTGAAAAGAAAAATCTTCTTTCTTTTAGTTAAAAAGTTTTACAAATAAATTATGTTTTAATTCATCTGATTCAGCAGACTTGCCTTGAAAAGGCAGGTTGAAGACAGTCGTGCAATTAAGTCAAATGTATTTATTTCCTTGGAACATTGAAGTTCACCAAAAAACAGCATTTGAAAATGCAGATGAAACATTTAAAAAAAAATGTAGATTGAAAAACAGACTTTTTAAAAGGAAAATAAAATAACACTGTTAATCCACTAAGAAGACAATAAAAGCAGCAATTTAGAAAGTAACTGCTTAAAGAAGAAATAAGCCTTTTCTCTGACATCTTCCATGCAAATGAAAACTGGCATACTTCTTCCTCAGGCACTGATGTCTTTTCCTTCCGCCTCGACAACCAGTCACATTCCAGCGTGCTCACGTGTCTCACAAGAAGAACTCGACCAACAGGAAGCATTTCATTTCAAATGACAATATGAAATTCCCCTCATTTGTTTTGAACATTCAAAGCTGAACAAAGTCCGTCCATTGAGAAGCCTCGCTGCTCTACAGGTGGAGTTGTGTGTTCACTCGCACAGCGGAGTACACACACTCCTGTGAAGAAGCTCTTTTCTTCACTCTTTTCACTTCACGTCTTGTGGAAAGATTCACTGCTGCATAATTACTTACTTCTCCGTCTCCACCCTGCAAATAATAACATCCATTAGTAACAGACTTTAGAGGTAAAGTCTAAAATATACAGGTTACCATCAGGATGCATATATAGAGGTTATCATTAGCTATATATGAGTATTTTTTAATGAATCAGAATAATGTTCTGAGTCTCTGGCACTGAGCATGAAGGTTATGAACATATTTACCTGGTCAGCTGATTGATCCGCTGTCCGCTGGGATTGAGCAGGATTACAGGCGCCGCTTGTTGCTTCTGCTGAATACAAAAGGACAAAGAAGTGCGTCATTTATTGTGATTGTTGTTTTAATCATTTTCAGTCGCTTTACAGTTACACGTTGACTCAACCACTATATATATATATATATATATATATATATATATATATATATATATATATATATATTGATGTATCTGATCCTGATCCCCAAGTACTGCTAGAATGCAGTAACGTATCATCTGATGTAATATAATAAGCTCTGTGTGACTTTGTTCTCAGATGAACAGAGAACGTGGTGACAGATGTCCTCTGACTGTGTTGGATTTGTAGCCGTGACGCTGCTGTTGATGATTGAAGCTTGAAAACATCTCAACTAACTACTTGCTTCCCAAGTCTTCAGTGACCTGAGCTTTGTTCTCCTGCTGCTGTGATACGTTTTACTTACTAACTTTAGTTAAATGACCCTGAGCTCAATACGCCAACCACTTATTCAGGAGATCAGTCGGTGGGGCTCAATGTGCATGAGTTAATGTTTCATTTAGTCCGTGTTCATCTGGTTAACCGACCTTCAGCTCTCCTTCGATTCACGTAGAAAATAAGGAGGATAATCACAGTCACACAGCACGCCAACAGGACGCCAAGAACTGTGACAACCACTTTCAGGTTTGAACCTGGAATGAGAGAAATGTCAAAATAGACCCTTAACGCCTCATTCACGTCAGTTATTTCAATGACTACCTTGTTTCTCATTTAAATCTCACCAGCTTTTGAAGTTTATATCGTACTGAGTGATTCCCTATTTAAGACGGGAGACTTTAAAACGTACTTGTGTCCACTTTGGTTCCTCCACCAAACAGGATCTGTCCGCATGAAGCCACGGCACAGCGGTAAGTCCCAGCATCAGAGGAGTTCCGGATCCTTTTAGGACAGACGATAGACACAACTTGTGTTGCCCCGGTTGTGTATCCTGAGTGTACATGAAGCCTGGATGGGATCCTCCTGATCTGAACCAGAACACCCTGTGTCCGTGTGGACACTGGACCCCCTCGCCTCTTTGTCCCTGGAGACAAGAGAACACTGGAGGGTCACCGAGTCGCCCGGCAGGACGGACTCAGCCTCCAGACTTTGTTCCACGTGGAAGGATTTCTGCAGACTTCCATCTGCACGATTCAGGGAAACATCCAAAGGAATTCAAATCTCAAGTATTTGTCTGACATCAAATGTGGCGCCAACGCTGCAAGTTAAATATATTTTACCTTTCACAGCCAAGAAGACGGTATCACCAAAACGTGGTGAAAACTGTGATCCAGTGAAACAGAAGTAAGTCGCTTCGTCCTCTTTGCTGATATTCATGATGGTCAAAGAATCCTGAGTGACTCTGAAACGTGAGTTGTTAAATTGTGGACTAAATGTTTGTTTGGTGAAAGTTCTTGTAGAAACAGTTTGGATCGTACATCCAAGAGGCTGCTTGTACCAGTACAATACATTTTTTTCCTCCTCAGAAACTGGACACTGAAACGTAACATTTCCACCAAGTTCAGCCTCCGTCAAAGAGACCTGTTGAACCTCTGCAGCTTCAATCGGCTCTGAAGAAAA